CGGCCCGGTGTCCCCGCAGCACCACGAGCTGACCTCGCTCTTCGAGTGTCCGGTCTGCTTTGACTATGTCCTGCCTCCTATCCTGCAGTGCCAGGCCGGGCACCTGGTGTGTAACCAATGCCGCCAGAAGTTGAGCTGCTGCCCGACGTGCAGGGGCGCCCTGACGCCCAGCATCAGGAACCTGGCTATGGAGAAGGTGGCCTCGGCAGTCCTGTTTCCCTGTAAGGTAAGCCCAGGGACAGCCCGCGTACCTCCGCCGGTGACCTCAGGGACTCCGGTATCCTCCAGCCCACTCGCAGGCCCGGAGAGGCGGGCGGCATCTCTTATTAAAAAAAAAAGAAAGAAAAAATGTTTACACTTCGTCTACCCTCCCTCAAACCCACTTTGGGAGTAGTTCTGGGTTGACATTTACCGAGTAATGGTTAATTGACAGTTAACAGATTAATTGGCATTCGCTGGTCGTCAGAACATCGTAGCTCACCCGGCCCAATGCCCGCGTCCTCTGCAGACATGTATTCGGGTACGCTCGATAGGGCTGGGCCGCAACAGTGAAACTTGGACCGAGAAACTGACTATGTGGGGACTGAGGAGGGAGGAAACGGAGAAGCTAAACGCACCCTTGTCCAGCGCTCGGCTTGGCTGAATTGATACTGGAGTCCTGCACCCCGCGCCTACAGTCTGCGCACCCCTGACACGTGGGAGCTCTCGGGAGTGTAGCTAAAAAAAGGGCGCCTACAGCCTGTTTTCCTCTAGCTAGAAGAAAACCCTGCAAGCCACGCCTTTTTCTCTCCTAGCCTTCCAAGGACTGGGAAGGACTGAGGAGTTGTGGCTGCGTTTTTGTACTAAGTGGGGTGAAAACAGTCAATCAAGAAATTAACAGGGGCACTCAAGAGCTGTTGTTACAGTTGTTTAAAGCTCATCAGTTCATTTTTTATTTAATGTAAAAAGTTTTCAATGCCCTTGCGAAAAATGCAAGCCAAGACAATAAGTAAAATGAAAGACCAAGACCTCTCCCCTCCTTTCCCACCATTGTTAGGTTTAGTGTGTATCTTTTTAAACTATATATACATACACCCTCGCAGCTAAATATAGAATCATAGATGTCAGTGTATGTCAGGGAGGTTTTTTAATACCCACACATAGATGTAAGTTTTTCTCCAAAAATGGCATCTGCAACTTGCTGTTTTTAAATTCATATTATCATACATATTTCTCTATGCCTGAAGCCTAGTCGACTTCACTGTATTTTAAATGACTGTATAGTATTGCATTGTGTGGTCATATTGTAACATTTGTTTACCTTCAGGAGCAGTTTCACAGACATACTTGTCTACATTACTTCATTATGACCTAGAACTATACTGTAAAGTTCATTTTCTGAAATTAGAAGTGGAAATATTGTCATTAATACTTTCCAGTTTTTTTGTAAAAGTAACTTGCTCTGCCTCTTGGGCCCTTTAGGCTGTCTCGTATTTCTCCTTGGTGCTGCTTATTTTATAGGACAAGAGCTCATTTTTAAATTAAAAATAATCCACCAGAGAATTCAGGCGTGGGACTCAGGTCAGTAAAATGAGTGCTTTAATTTGGTCTGCTGCCCTGCTGCAAATGAGGTTTAAAATAGCATATTTAAATAAGGGTTTGAATCAGTGTTTGGACTAGGGTGTTTCAGGCAACCTTAATAAATTGCTTTTAACCCCTCCTCATATAATGCTTACTAATTCACTCAGCCCAGTTTCTCAAAATTTAGATGAAGTATTTGCATAGTTGTCTTAGGGTTGTGAAAAAGGAGACAAAGGTTTGGTGGTAGTTAACATAGAGTGGCTATTTGATGTTTGAGATATATTGCAGGGGTGGGGGATGCCCCACAGGATTTCTGGGGAGCCATTTTCTCACCCCTTTACTTTCCCTTAAACCCGCAGTGGCTAACAAAAGAAATGGCTTTTAGGTGAGTTTTAGTTCACAAATGAGCATTTGATATTAGTCAGTAATCCATAATTTGTTTTTAAAATGTAACCTTAGAATTGTATTGTTCCCAAGAGAAAGGGAAGGAAACAGTTATGCTATATGGAGCATGAAGTTTCACTTTCAGGATCTAGAACTCTGGTTCCTATGAAAGCATATGTTCTTTCCTAACGTGAAACAGGCTAGTGAAATCAACCTTGAAGAGTAGTTCTGGGAATCGGGGGTTCTCAGCCTTTCTGTATATGTCAGTGATTTTCTGAGTCTCTATTCCATAAGAATGCAGTTGGGCAAAGCCATTACTTTGCAAGCTGAGATTTAAAAGGGCCAACTATTCCCCTAAAGACCAGGAACCAAGCTTAGAATGTGATCTTGGGGATGCTTTTGTGTGTACATGTGTGTGAGTTACATAAAGCCGGAGTGTGCATGCCTCATCTTTGGTTGATCAATAATCCAAACTATTGGCAGGGCAGCTCAGCCAGTTAGTCTGGATGAACCAAACTTGAATGTATACATAGGCCCAGCGACCAACCAAGATGTGCTGTAGAGGATGAGAAACAACAGGGAGTAGTCGTAAGGCCTGTATCAAACTTAAAACAAGGTAGGTCTGTTTACCTAGCCCTTCGGCCTACAGTTGGAGGCTCCTAGAAATTATGGGATTGCCTTTTCACTGTGCCCACCTGCTCTCAGAATCTTTCGTGGGCTGGCTCATGTGAAAAAAACCAACGTTGAATAAAGTAACAGAGTCCACATCTCAAGAGGTGCCTGGCATTGCCACTGTTTGCCTGAAAGACCACCTCCCAGGGCCTTGATTTCCTCATCTATATAAATGAGAGATGAGTCCGCTCGACTTCTGAGGACCTGTAGCTTCTAGCATTCCATGAAAAGAAGGGAAGCTATCTGGAATGTTATTGGATGCCCTCTATCTGCCAGCTACTTCACAGGGGTCAGCTTTTACTAGTTTGCCTTTTTTTTTTTTTTTCCCAGATGAGGAAACTCATGCCTACAGAGTGGTTAAATGTGAAGTGACTTGTCAAATCACACAGCTAGTAAGAGGACCAGTCCAAGCACCTGCATCTCAAAGGCACAGATGTTTTGTCCTACACCTTACTGCTTGGGGATTTCGAATCTGAGTATATACCCAAGATTCTGAATCATAACTCAAGGTTGACACCAGTAACAAAACCATCTGGTTGGATGAGTTCACCAGATGGGCCTCTTATGGGACCATCCCAAAATGACAACATACATACTCACTATGAAATTCATTGGCAGGAATTTTGTAGGCCATGTAGGGTAGGAAGATGGGGGGTAGGGGAAACCTACAAACCTAGTATTTTGTGGGATATCATCACAGCTCTGGACTGCTTCAGTTGGCCAAAAAATGGATGTATTGCCAAATAACTATCCTACTTAGGTGTAGGGTAATTAATTAAAGGCTAGAGTGTTGCCAGCACCTTTGATATGGGGAGCCAGGTGCATTATTAGCTCAGATCTTTGGGTGTGGTGGCTCATGCCTGTAATCCCAGCACTTTGGGAGGCAGAGGCGAGCAGATCACCTGAGGTCAGGAGTTCGAGACCAGCCTGGACAACATAGTGAAACCCTGTCTCTACTAAAAATACAAAAATTAGGGCCAGGCTCAGTGGCTCACACCTGTAATCCCAGCACTTTGGGAGGCTGAGGCGGGCAGATCACCTGAGGTCAGGAGTTTGAGACCAGCCTGACCAACATGAAGAAACCCGGTTTCTACTAAAAGTACAAAAAAGTTAGCTGGACATGGTGGCACATGCCTGTAATGTCAGTTACTCAGGAGGCTGAGGCAGGAGAATCGCTTGAACCCAGGAGGCAGAGGTTGCAGTAAGCCGAGATCACGCCATTGCACTCCAGCCTGGGCAAAAGAGTGAAACTCGGTCTCATTTAAAAAAATAAAATAAAAATTAGCTGAGTGTGGTGACAGGCACCTGTAATCCCGGCTACTTGAGAGGCTGAGGCAGGAGAATTGCTTGAACCCGGGAGGTGGAGGTTGCAGTGAGCTGAGATTGTGCCACTGCATTCCAGCCTGGGTGACAGAGCAAGACTCCATCTCAAAAAAAAAAAAAAAAGGAATGTCTAATTGTGTATGGCTTTCTTCCACTTGGGGTCTTTTTTAATCCATTCTATGGCTTTTTCCATGCCTGAGAACTTTTGACATCCTGTGCCCAGACTTAAACTCACCCCTTCAGTGTGTGGGTTAGGGGGAGAAGTGAAGGTTGACACATTCATGTGAACAACATAGTCTCCTTTACCATCCAACTGTGCATTTTGCTATCAGACAAGTATTTCTGTCCACAACTGTGAGCAATGCTAATCCACTCCAGCCTTCTTACACTGTGATAATACCCTTTCTTTGTCCTCTCTGAAAGTTTTTAGTAGCATGTCTCCAAATAATTATTGAATTTGAAAGCCTCAGCCAGACAAGTCTTCTCTGTGGTTGAATTGTGACAATATCTGTGTTCCTTAAAAAAATAAAAAATAACATAAAACCAAGTAAGGTTAGATAAAACAGTTGAAAGTTTAAAAGCCCTTGGCCTCATCTAGTTCAGTGGAGACAAACTTTCTAAATGGGAGCAGGGCCACGTAATGCAGAGGAGAGAAGCATTTGACGCATGCATGGCCTCGGGTCAGGGAGACCTGGAGGAGCAGTGGAGATAGTGGAGAGCCAGAGAACAGGTGCCACCTCCCAAGAGGCAGCCTTTACTCAGCTCTGGCTGATTGGTGAGCGTGGGGATATGGGTGCAGGCATATCAGACCTTTAGATTTTTTCAGGAAAAGCCAGAAATCTGGATTTTTTTTTTTTTTTTCCTTTCAGAGATGTCATCTCACTATGTTGCCCAGGCTGGTCTTGAACTCCTGAGCTCAAGCGATCCTCCCATCTCAGCCTCCCAAAGTGCTGGGATTACAAGTGTGAGCCACTGTGCCCAGCCTGGATTTTTTTTTTTTATGTTAAATATCTCGATTTTTTTTCTAGCATTGGCTGACTTCACATGTATAGCCACTGCTTGCAGACCAAGCCAATCATATCTCCAGGCCAAATTCCAGCTGCCAGCATGCAGCCTCTGATCTGATTCTCTTCTAGAAGCATTCCTTGAGCCTGGAAGTTCTCATTTAACTCTTGCCATACATGAGCTTTTGAACTCTGTTAGGCCCTAACTGTTGGTGATTTTGTAGCTTGTTTTCTTTTCATTTTTATTTTGCCAAGAGAATATTATTTGCTGGCCACCAGGAAA